AGCCCACATGAAGATGGGAAAGATACAGTTCTCACTATAAGTGCTCTGTCGTTGTGCTTGACATCTGCAGAAAGTATGAAACTTTCCACACTTTTGCCAGTTGTCTCCTTTAAAATATAGAAATGTCATAACTCAAACCATGACTCTTGGCCCCAATCTGTTCCTTAATTGTTAAGTGTGAGATCCTCGCCCTGGTTGCTCAGTGTTGACAACCACTACTTCACATGTTCCAGATCTGAATACAGAAAATGGGTTTCAGGGACATGCCCTAGCTAAAATTAAGCCCCAGCTTTTGCAGACTGAAGTTGACCCGGCACAAATAGTTTTTTGCTGGCTCCACCGCGCATATCATCTGAAGTGGGGTGCTATTTAGAAATGGTTTGCTGTGGCACCAGTACCTCTCTTAGCATCCACCTGCCACAAAACTCCGTCACCACCATTAAGATTGTCATGTGAAGTTGAACTAATGCAAGGGTGCCTCTCTGAATGGAATCCAACCCCCTCCCTCCCCAGCCAGCATGGCCAAGGACCAGAAACGATGGGTGCTGTAGTCAAGTTACATCTGGAGCGCTGCAAGGCCCTGGCCTAAAACAATCAGTCTCAAGTCCAGTTTTCATTGAGATGGCTCGGTCTGCAGATGATGGAGTGTCGTACAAGACAACACTTCCTCCACATAGAAAGCTAGGTCTCAGATGGAGGGATTCTAGTCTATTCCTTCTCACTCAAGTGCTACTTTTTTAGGTGTATGATTTATTTTTTCATGAGAGAATACTCCTCCATGTGCAAGCCCCCATCTGCAACCTGAAGAGGCGCAACTGAAATACACGTCTACCACTTTAAGAGAAAACCAGGACTATAATTGGTCCTTATGGCAATGCTGCTCAGAAAGAAATCTTTCCCTGTCATCTTTCACATTAACATAACAATATCCTGCCAAGAAGCCATGAACTTCAACCTCAGATCCTCTGAGAGATGATGATGATGATGATGATGATGATGACTGTTGTGTCAAGAGCTGCTAGTCTGGACTCACACCTGAGTGTTTGATGACTAGCATCAAAGGCTGCCTTGCATGTGTGAACATCCTTTCAAAGCACCCCTCAACACTTAATACCAGAGTGGGGCTCTAGATGGACAACCATGTCCATCCCTCTACAGGCCACTTTGACAAGTGAAAGGGGCAACTCGCCTCTTCGTCCAGAGCTTTAAAGGACATAATCTTGGGCTCCCAGTTGCTGCTGTTGTATTTATTAAGCCTCTTTTCTTATGAAGTAACCGGGATCAACTTGCATTAATACCAATTATTAACAACAACAACAACAACTTAAAAGCACGGCAACACAAATAAAAGGCTAAAACCAAAAGGTTCCACCCCACTAAGAAAGCCCACAATACCCTTCAAGTTAAGAGCCAAAAGCCTAGATGGGGGGGGGGAGTCTTTGCCTGGTACCTAAAACTGCATAAAGATGGTGCCTCACTGTTATGGTCCAAAGGAAAGCAGAGCAAGATACAGTGGTACCTCGGGTTAAGAACTTAATTCATTCTGGAGGTCCGTTCTTAACCTGAAACTGTTCTTTTTTTTTTTTAAATAATTTTTATTAATTTTCCAAACATGTAATAAAAACAAACAATAAAACAAAACAAAACATACAAACAAATAAACATGTATAATTTCATAAACTCATTTTCCTTCACCTTATTTCCCGGACTTCCCCATACCTCCCTTTTTCTGCATCCTTATTTTTCCCTTTTGACAGCAACCCTCCATTTAATTAATTAACTCATCTTCATTATAATTCCCTTAAATTTATGATTTACAGCTGCAATTCTCTGTTTCTTAACACCATAGCATCTCAGCACTCCTCAATGTTACAACAATTTTTAAGGTATATTTTAAATTTCTTCCAATCTTCTTCCACTGTATCACTCCCCTGGTCACGGATTCTGCCGGTCATCTCTGCCATTCCCATGTAGTCGATCACCTTCGCTTGCCATTCTTCCAGAGTGGGTAACTGCTGCGTCTTCCAATACTTTGCCAGAAGAATTCTTGCTGCTGTGGTAGCATACATGAAAAAAGTTCTGTCCTTCCTTGGCACCAATTGGCCCACCATGCCCAGGAGAAAAGCCTCTGGTTTTTTAGAAAATGTCCATTTAAGGACCTTTTTAATTTCATTATAGATCATTTCCCAGTAGGCTTTAATCTTCGGGCAGGTCCACCAAAGGTGATAGAAAGTACCTTCAGTCTCATTACATTTCCAACATTTATTATGTTAACCTGAAACTGTTCTTAACCTGAGGTACCACTTTAGCTAATGGGGCCTCCTGCTGCCGCCGCGCCGCCAGAGCACGATTTCTGTTCTCATCCTGAAGCAAAGTTCTTAACCCGAGGTACTATTTCTGGGTTAGCAGAGTCTGTAACCTGAAGCGTCTGTAACCTGAAGTGTCTGTAACCCAAGGTACCACTGTATTTGGTACCAAGATCACCACCACCATATCCAATGTCCCTTCAAAGAACTTGCAGGAAACGAAACACCTCCATTTCTCTGGCCAAACTACCCCATTGCCCAAGCATCCTTACAACTAGAGACTTTGAGGAAACACTTTCTGTCATCTTTATTAAAAGTACAACATACATCAGGGGTCCACATGGGGCCCTGCCACAGATCTCTTTGTCTGTGGCCCATATCCAGCAGTCGGGTCCAATCCTCACTCAAGGGTGAACTCACATCAAGCATGTTTCATTGTCCTTGTCATCTTCTGCTTGGTAACACATGCACACCCACACCCACAAACACAGATATTGCACACATGCACACACCACATTAGTGGTGCAGTTAGGCCATTTTAGTGAAGGGTAGTCAACGTGGTGCCATCCACATGTTGTTAGACTACAACTCCCATCATCCATAACCATAGGCCATGCTGGCTGAGGCTGATGGGAGTTGGAGCCTAACAGACTACATTGGCTTTCTCTATTTTAGACTCTGAGCTTAATGGTCTTATTGGGGAGAGGGGCTCTTTAGATAGCAGTTGCACCTTACATCTCTCACTTCAAAATGTAGAAAGCTAGCCCTGTTGCATCTGCAGTCTGCTCGTTTTGCTGAGAGAGACCCTGGACTTCTACCCCAAAGTCTGACCTGATGGCATCACACAGCTCCTAATAAGATTCTAGCCCCACCAGTGACCATTCCCAGCAGACCATTTGAGAATCAATGCTTCTTTGTGTGGTGGGGAGGGGGGAGTGGCCCTCTTCCTTACCCCAAACTAGGAAAAAAAAGATTTTTAAAATGTATACAAACATACGAAATTGCTCCCCCATCCACAAACACAACCCTGCTGTTGTAGGGTCCTGGAGAGGATGCTAGGAAAAAGGAATCAATTTCTCCCATAACTAATTGTCATAACTAATAACTCAGCCCAAGAGCGCACTCTCTCTCCATCACATGAGTGGGAGGAGGGAAGAAGGCAGACTTTGGGGAGTTCCACTTTAACCCTCCCTCCCATTTTCATGATAGACAATTGCTGGCATTTTAAAATTTCATCCAATCAATACCACTTAAGACAACCCAAATTTAATTTCAGCGAGGGCTCCCATCGTCAAGATCTGGCCCTGAAATGTGTGATTTAGTAAGAGCAAGGAGCAATGCATGCTTAGCTTGGAGGAGAGTTTCTGTGTGCGGTGGAGAGACAGCACCATACTTTTCGGTTACTTGAAGGGCTGTCACACAGAAGAGAGCAAAGATTTGCTCTCTGCTGCCCTCGAGGGCAAGACTAGAGCTAATGGGTTTCAGCTGTGGGAGGAGGCAGATTCTGGATGTTAAGAGAAAATCCTTAATTCTTGACTTGCAAGGGTCAAGAATGGAACAGGCTCGCCCTCAGTGGGCAACCATCTCGTGGGGATGCCCAAGCACTGGATTGTCTGCATGGTCCAGGGGGGTTGACTAGGTGGCCTTCAAGGATGCCCTCCAATCCACAATTCTAAGCCTCTGAGCGCATGCAGAGTGCCACTTTCTTATCACGATGCAGGCTTTCAGCATACACAGTTCTAGAGGGCAAGGGGCAAGAAGGGGTAAGTCCATCAGAGAGCTAAAAGGTAAGAGCTGTTTGACAGTGGAGCAGGTCTCCCTTGGGATGTGGTGACCTCTCCTTCCTTGGAGGGTTTTAAGCAGAGGGTGGATGGTCAACTGTCATGAATGCTTTGGCTGAGATTCCTGAATTGCAGGGGTTTGGACTAGATAACCTTTGGGTCCCTTCCAACTCTATGATTCTATGAAATTGGCACTTTTAGAGAAAGAAAAAAGTGCCTATTTCACAGAATCATAGAGAAAGAAATAGTGATGTATGGAAGTGAGAGCTGGACCATAAAGAAGGCTGATCGCCAAAGAATTGATGCTTTTGAATTCTGGTGCTGGAGGAGACTCTTGAGAGTCCCATGGACTGCAAGAAGATCAAACCTTTCCATTCTTAAGGAAATCAGCCCTGAGTGCTCACTGGAAGGTCAGATCCTGAAGCTGAGGCTCCAATACTTTGGCCACCTCATGAGAAGAGAAGACTCCCTTGAAAAGACCCTGATGTTGGGAAAGACTGAGGGCACAAGGAGAAGACGAGATGGTTGGACAGTGTTCTTGAAGCTACCAACATGAGTTTGACCAAACTGCAGGAGGCAGTGGAAGACAGGAGTGCCTGGCATGCTCTGGTCCAGGGGGTCACGAAGAGTCGGACACGACTAAACAACAACAACAGAGAAAGAAAGGGGGAGAAGAGTCTTCAGGAGGTTGAGTGGGTCTTGGAAGATCGGAAATCAACTTTAGCTCAGTTGGCAGAGCATGAGACTCTCGATCTCTGGGGTTGCAGGTTCGATCCCCACGTTGGACAAAAAAGATTCCTGTATTGCAGAGAGTTGGACTGGATGACCCTTGTGGTCCCTATGATTCTGGAAAGGGGTGGGAGAGGCGAAGCTGTGCCGGAGGAGGGGTCCCCACCCCTCTCCCCTTACTCACCATCGCGTATTGTCATAGTAATGCTCCAGCACCGAGTAGCCGAAGAAAGAGTTGTTGGGTCCTTGGAAAATCACCGGGTGGTCCAGGTCGAGGTTATAGGAGTAGACCAGCGCCACGCACAGCGTCGCCACCAGCACTTGACACGCGCCCCGCTTGCGCGCCCCGCGGGACGCAGCAGCCATTCTTCGGCGGAGAATGCGCGCCTCTTGCAAGCCAGGATCCGGCCGCCCAGCTCCGTCGGGCGCCGCCTGCTCTTGCTGCCGCCGGGAAGGAGAAGAGGAGGACCGGCAGCAGCAGGAGCCCCGCGACCCGGGCCCGAGAGCGGAAGGGCGGAGCAGCCAGCAGCGCTCGGCTTGGCGCATCCACGCAGCCCCTGCAAGCAAAGAGCATCCAGAGGCGAGTCCCCGGGCGGCAGGCAGCTCCCCGCGGGACTTTGCAAGGGCGGCGGCGGCGGCAGGACGCTGGAGCGCGCGGGCTCTTCTGGCCGCGTCCCGGAGCAAGCCAGGGGCTTTTGAGCGCCGCCGCCGGGCGCCAATCGCAGGCGAGCGAGCGCGGCGGAGCCAGCCGTCTCCCCGCCGGAGGCGCAGCGCCCTCTGGCGACGCCTCTCGCGCTCTTGCGCGCCTGAGGAGAAATAAGGAAAAATAAGGAAAAAATAAGAAAGTTGGCTTCTTGAGAGAGATTGGGGGGCCGGGGCATAGGAGCCAACTCCTAGGGACCGGGGGGGGGCAGGGGGCAGCTCCCCCCCAAACCAAGTAAATGAATAAAACTAGTGCTTTTTTCTGGGGGGGATGCAGAGGGACGCATACCCCTTAACATTTTGTGAATCTTTGTACTTTTGTCCATTTGCTGTATTCATTTTTCCCGGTTGGAACTATAAAATGATGGTTTTCCTGAGTCAAAATGAGAGTACCCCTAAACATTTTTTTAGAAAAAAAGCACTGAAAATACTTAGCTAATTGAGGTTCTGTCTCATACACCACCCAACATAAAGCCTGCCCCGTAACATAAATCCTGAAATCTTGGTCAAACTCATGCTGGTAGCTTCGAGAACACTGTCCAACCATCTCGTCCTCTGTCGCCCCCTTCTCCTTGTGCCCTCCATCTTTCCAGGGTCTTTTCCAGGGAGTCTTCTCTTCTCATGAGGTGGCCAAAGTACTGGAGCCTCAGCTTCAGGATCTGTCCTTCCAGTGAGCACTCAGGGCTGATTTCCTTCAGAATGGATGTGTTTGATCTTCTTGCAATCCATGGGACTCTCAAGAGTCTCCTCCAGCACCATAATTCAAAAGCACCAATTCTTCGGCGATCAGCCTTCTTTATGGTCCAGCTCTCACTTCCATACATCACTACTGGGAAAACCATAGCTATACGGACCTTAGTTGGCAAGGTGATGTCTCTGCTTTTTAAAATTGCATACCATACATTCCTGTATATTTTACATAAACCATTCAGTATTCCATGGTTACCACCATCAGAGCTTATTTGCACTGTTGAATTTATCTTAATGCTACCAGTGTTTTCAAATGCATATAATTTTCACCCATTTATCCAATAAACATTTTCCATTCTTCTTTAAACGTCTGCCTATTTTTCTAGAAAAGGAGGTGCCAGAACTCGCCATGAGCACCTCCCTCTTTTTCTCAGATTGGTAATGATGCCCACCTGACTGTTGCCAGAACTGAGTTCCGGAAAATTCCGGCTGGGAAAAAAAAGGCCCTGGTTATTGCTATTAAAATAGTGTGTGTCATGTGACTGATTATATGGCGCAGGGTTTATCTGCCCTCCCTCACCCCCCAAAAAATAATAATAATTTGTAAAAGTTGGCATGGTCGGTTTCCTCTCTCACACCACCAGCGAAAACAAATACGGTAAGTGAATAGGAAAAAGAAGCTACCTCCATCCATCGTGAATTTAAAAAGACGTTTAAATTGGTGATTCCAAAAAAGCCCCTTTTTTTTGCTAGGGATAATTAGGACGGAAGTTTCGAAGAAGCCAACTAATCTTTTTATGTACTCAACAACTGCAGCCAGAATCTTATATGCGCAGAAATGGAAAGATGGAAGAGACTCCAGCAGAAGAATTAAAAAAGGACGGATTGTGCTGAAATGGCAAAATTGACTGTAAAACTAAGAGATCAGAATGATGAACTGTTTATGGAAGATTGGAGGCCTTTGGGGGACTATCTATCAAGATATTTTAGCGATAGGAAATTGTGCGCAGGATTTGAGACATGAGCGACAGGAAAAAACATAAAAATGATGTTAGGATGGAGTTAGGGTGTTGTAACAAGTATAATGCAGCAATTATGGTTAAGAATGAAAACATCAGCGTGGGAGGGGTAACAAGTCAAGAAGAAAAATATAAGTGAGTAATATATTGGATGTGAAGTAAGTGTATTAATTTTGGGGGGAATCTAATAAAAAATAATATCAAAAAAGAACCTACCCACATGATGCTGACACAAAAACCTTTCACAAATGCTATGTAAAAGAATGAAAGTTCAATATTTCCCACTTCTCTCTCCCCGCCTCACATTTTCTCTCTGCTCAAAGCTGCAATCTAGCTGAAAAAGCACAGTCCAGAATTCTCCAACCTCTCATTTTGATTTGTTCTGATTTAAAGAAGAGGCGGACCATTGCGGTTTCATGCCCATCTACCATGGGCATTGGCATCTAAAAATAATTAAACTGCTTGCCAATTACAAAGAATGGTCAAAACAAAGATTTTCACATTTTTTGCAATGTCCTAAAGCAAACGATATTGTGACTGCCACATATATTATATCACTAGAATTTCCACAAGTTCGGTGACTGAGCTATCCCCTCTGTGTGAATTAATCCCATCAGAAGGGAAGTCGATACGAAATGATTAGGCAAATTCCACAGATGACAATGCAATCCATTAATAAGCCCAGTGCCAAAGACGTTGCATCTGGAAATACCAAAGCTCTGAGGCTTTCCAGCTAAATCCCAAAGCACTGACCAACGCTGGAAAACCTTTCCAATCAAATTAAAGAAGATGGAAACTGATGCACACATGGTGTGGATAGGACTGTAGACATGGGGAGTCATCTCCACAAGAATGAGAGGTTGGCAACTCTGGGAGGCTGGCTGGCTCTGGGCCACTGAGATAAATCATCTAAAAAGAAAGAATTGTATCTAGCACACATTTCCAGGAAATAAGAAAAATTACAACAACCAAAGCAACATCAATTCCCCGGCTACCTTCTGCAAGAACTTTACCTTTACAAGACTTAAATCACCAATGTTTTGGTTAGAGCTGCACAATTCAGGTTACAGTACTGGGATTTAACACACACATATACAAACGTCCTAAATGGGCTATCGTTTTTTTAAAGGACAATTCAAACAGTAAGGACCATTTCAATATGTATATTCATATAGATTTTGGTTTTTTTAGTTTTAAAACATAACCGTATTTCACATGACTGCCCATGAAACATAGCACTTAAAATTGCATAACATAAAGTAGTTCACCTTAACCATTTCCTATGAAGTGGAAGGTATTACACAGAGTTCTTCCTCTTAACCTGCAGGATCTAGTTTAATGTGCCACGGAATTCATTTTGTAATTGTTCAAAAAGTCAAATTAAAGTGGCAGTGTCATTCCATTTCATTCGGCTCCAAACCCTGCTCTTGACCAAGTAGAATAAAAAAATAAAAAATAAAATCATATATACTTTATAGTGCAGTTTTCGGATATCACATATTTGATGGTCCACCTTTATGGCAATATTGTAACCAATGAGGTTAATCTGAGGCACAATTATCGCTAATTGAAATCTTCATGTGCCTCCTCCGTGAGAGGTCCAGAGGGCAGCAAAATGAAAAAGGGCCTTTTCTGTGGTGGCTTCCCCACATGTGGAATGCTCTCCCCTTCGTTACATGTCTTTAGGCGCCAGGCAAATTCCTCTTCTCCAATAATTCCTCTTCTCCAAGGCCTTTAGCCAAATAGACAATCTGTGGCCTTTTAAACTGGGGGCAGGGGGCAGGTATTGGTTGGTTTGTTACTATGTTTTGTATTTTTGTGTTTTTCACACTGTGAACCACACTGCGCTCCTCAGACGAATGGCACTATAGAAATGTAATAAATAATATTTTGTGCTTCTTGGGTGGTTTCACTGGGGACACATAGTTTCAAATTAATTTAAGTTCCAAAGGATTTCTCTCCTCCACCACCTTCAAGTTCAAAGCCCAGTCAAAGACGGCCTTTTAAACCAGAACAGGAGGTAATAATCATTTAAGTATCCCCCATCTTCCTCTAAGCTTCTCAATCATATGTAATGCTTCAGCAGCATTTTTCTCAGTTCCATCACAAAAATCAATCACACCTCAAGCGTCCAAGATTCTTTTCTAAAGTACCCTACTTAAGGATTTTCAGCTGTGTTGAAGAATTACTACTCTTCAAAAAACAACAACCTCTATTTAAGAAGGGGCTTAGGGAATGCAGGTATCCCTGTTCGTGGAGTGGGGGGAAATTTACTCCATGATTTATTGCCCCTCTGTACCGAAAGGCAAATGTTGTGTGTGTATACATCGATATATTGTGTACACTCATTAAAATGTGCAACCCATTCAGAAGCGCAGGCGGTGTCTACCTTTTTGGGTAGATGGGTGTCAGAAACCTGGGCAGGCACCACAGTATTGCAACTGTACAACAAGATGCTCTGTTTACCTTATCACCACACAGCTACTACAGCTAGGAAGAAGACGGGACTTTTCCTTTCCTTATCAGAAATTACACAAGCCTCGAGCTCAGCCATCATTTAGCTGTTGCTGTTAGGAAGGCGATGGACCCTCGCTTTCCCCCAGTTGCGCGTTGAGGCCCCCAAGCCCTTCCCTGTAAATAACTTCACACTGACACGTAATTTTAGTTTCAGTTATTGGGTAAAATTTAGGACACAACTTTATTGATTGCAGCACAGTGAGCAGTACAGTGGTACCTCTGGTTGCGAAAGGGATTCGTTCTGGAGCCCGGTTTGAAACATGAGCAGAATGCAACCTGCATCTGCGCGTGTGCGGGTCACTATTCACCACTTCTGCGCATGCACATGACATCATTTTGAGCGTCTGCGCAAAACCCGGAAGTAACCTTTTCCAGTACTTCCGGGTCGCCGCAGGACGCAACCTGAAAACGCTCAACCTGAAGCAAACACAACATGAGGTATGACAGTATTGGCTTAGGCATTGGCAACAGATTATAACTAACTCCTGCCTCTCTGGCTGGTAGTGTGAAAGGGTAAACACCAAATGAGGGAGCAACATCGATGAAGACCGACTGAAGCTCACCCCAGGGTTCCTGTGGTCCTGGCATGGCCCTAGCCCCTCAAGCGGACTTTGGACAAGATCCAGGAACCCCATATTCCTTTACCGGAATACACTATTTCTGGAGGGGCAGGTGATGGCCGCACCTCCCCCCCCCACACACGTCAATAAGCCAATGCCTAACCACCAAACCTTACAAAGTTGTGACGATTGCTAAGAAG